GGAGCCCTACTTTTTGGTCAATGATTTCCCCTCTCCCCTGTTATATCCCAGCACTTTGTGAAGCTTTCCCTTGTGTGATAAACCAAATAGCTTACACCTCAGCAGACGTGCTGCTTTGGCTTTACACTGCTTCTGCCACAAGTTTGGAGCAGAGATGTGGTGTGGAAAAACCTCTGCTGGCTGGGTTAAGCAGCCACGCACGTAACCGAAAACCTGCAAGTTGCAAGCAGGATGGAACACAAGATGGGCAATGGGCATCCAAAGAAATGCTCCAAGTTCCTCACCCAAGGTATGCCTAAATCCTGCAGCACAAAGCTGGTTGTTGCACGTGTGAGCAACAAGAACATCTGAGCTGTAACTTCATGGTAACACCCTTCCTCCTTCAAAATGTGTTTCAGAACACAAACCTGCCTCTGCTTTATAGCAAAATGGGAGAATGATTTCCCTGGGCTGCTGGCTTCGTAATCACCTCTCAAGTTTTTGGCACTGGCTGCTCTCAGAAATGGGTGACAACTGCTCTGGCCATGTTTGGTAATTTCTGTAAAGCAGAAGCAACATCGTGCAGAAACATGGAGACAGAGTGAGGAAATGTTCTCCACTACAGAGCTGGAGAAAGCAGCCTTTAAATGAATTTTTCATTCCTACTGTAAGAGAAGTTTACGTGACGAGTTGTCAAACGCTCTGCTGACATTTCTCCTTCTTCAGAAGGAAAGATCACCCTTGCCAAGGTGCTGGTCAGTCACGTGCCACTTTGCTGTGTGATACACACTGCTTACTCTCTAAAGCATGGGCGATAGGTAGGTTTTGTTATTTTCATACATAGAAATCACTCTCTCAGTGGAAATACAGATGTCCCATCTGTCAAATCAGAGGTGTTTACCTTCTGACTGCTAGGTCCTCACCTTGGGCAGCCAAATCTCAAACCCTACAGGCAAGAAACAAAAGCTTGGCTCATGTAGCAGAGATAGAGCAGGAGGGAGCCTATAAAGCTTACTGGAAAATGAGAACAGACATTTTCAGTGATTTTGAACATGACCAATGAAATCAGCTCAGAGATGCATTCTTGGCTCCTTTGCTGTTCTATGTTGAAAGGCTCCCCAGCTCTTGGGCAGCTATCAGCCATCAAACCACCTCTCTTTGGCTGTTTTACAACCAGGCTGTGCTCTTATCCTCAGCATGGACCTTCATTTCTGCCTGCTGATTATCTGTTGTTCTTCTAGCCCACAGCTGAGGGAAGTGCCTGTGGAGATGGTGTTTTTCTTCCTAAATCAGCAAGATTTTTTTTATTATTATTATTATTCTCCACAGTTTGCAAGTTGCTTGTAGCCAAAACTCACAGATCTCTGCTTGATTTGATTTCTATCTACTTTGTTCTTACTCATAAGCTTAAAAAAAAAAAAAAAGAAAAGACTTCAGATAAATAATAATAAATCCAAAGTGTTCTGCCACAGTTCATTATCTGGGTTGAAACACCTTCCCTTATGTTTGTCTGCAAAGAGAGGCATGGGAAGAGATGGCAAGTCAGACCCTCTGATCTTTCCATCTAGGGAGACAGAAATGGCAAGAACAAGAAATATGGAACAGCTCTTCAGCTGGCACTAATTATCACAGCTCCCTGCTTTCAGCAGAGCTTTTCTGCTTTTTTCAGGTTAAGATCCATGCCTGAGTTATCTGAAATGTGCTTCCGACCAGGCTTTTGGGCAGCGGTCCCACTGCAGTCTAACTTAGTGATAGCACCTCAAACTGTGTACGAACATAAGGAGCAAAAAAGATTCTGGTCATGGCTGCATTTCTCTCTGTATTTCTCAAATGCACATAAATTCAAAATCGGTCCTACTGTGCACAGTAACAAGAAAATGAGGAACGATATAAAAATGCTGGCATTATAGAGAGAGTAGAGTAGCTCCTGCTGCACACAAGATCACTGTCAAGTTGAAGCATAAATCTTGAATGATAAAAACGATGACGTAGCCATTAGATTTGCTTCCTCTCCATTTATGAATTGTCCAAAAAAAGAATTCTCCAATTTACCTGTAATTAAAACATCACTTAGCAAATGCCTCTATCTGTGCCATAACACACTTGCCCAATTTGCCCTGTGGGAAGGAAGCTTGACTTGCTGTACATCCTGCAAACTTGCTCTTAATCTCTGACCTGCCAGGTCAGAAAGCTCATTTAACAGTCACTGTTATCCCTTAAGAGGTGGGTGGATTGTCCAGCTCTTGCCAGGCCTGCTCAGGAGCAAGATTCTTCCTACAAAAGTGGTTTGAAACCCTTTCCCAGCCTATGGAAAAAACTTGAGAGAAAAGGGAAATCCTAACTGGGTGCTGACAAGAATGCTAGGAGGGAACAGAAAGCAGAGAGGACACTGCAAAGCAGGGAAAGCAAGGAAATCCCCTTCAGATATCTGCTTTAACAAAAAGGTTTTATTTGTAGCGTGCAGCCTAAGTGACCGGGCAAATTCAGTGACATTAAGGGCAAAAAAGGTAACTATACTGAAGATACTAATTGACAAAATGAGTTCTGTGGAGCAAGGGAGATCTGTAAATCAAATCCAGAGCAGCTTGGTAAATCTGTATAGCAAACAAGCACAGAGGCAGCACTGACAGGAATCCCAAAACAAAATTCAGAGGAATTAAATGGAGCAGAGGTGTTTCTGCTAATGCTGATGGGCTACAACTTCATGTTCTAGTTTACAATTCTATCATAAATATTTTGCATGGTCAAAGAGACACGGCAAACTCAAATGCCCAGCGTAAAGCATTAAGGCAGGCCTCGCTTTGTGAAATGCTCAGGACGATGTGTGACTCTGCCATCTCCTGTTGCTGTGCATTGCCTCCCGCCGTTTCGCACTGGCTTATTGAGGCAGTAATATTTCCAAAGGATGTGAAGGGCATTGAACAGATTGAAAATCTCGAAGCATCGAGGCATTCATTTCTTTAGTCGATTAGTGTGAACTATTTTCCATTATCTCAGCTTCTTGTTTCTGAGTTTCTATCAGCAAACAGCAGAAAATGACACCTGTGTAATTTCAGGAACAACCAATGTGACGTCAGCACAGCTCACAGCGTCCTGTCCCACGGCGACAGACTGCTCCCGTTTCTGCATTTATCTGCAGCACCTGGTGCTTTGTGCCAACAACTCTGTTGGCCAGGAGATGAACGCCCCGATGGAATTCCATGGCCTTCCTACTTCCCGTACCCCTGGATGCAATGCCACGGAGTTTCTTGGTTGTTTACTGCACTCGTAATCTTTGCCTTCCTTGCTTTCATATTCTTCTGTACTCACTCAAAACATGCCTCAACGTTTTAAGTTTAAAGGTATTTATCTGCCTTTTACTCTCCCTGTAAGACCCTAATTTCAAGTAGGTTTAAAACAAATGTAATTACGTTGCCTGTCTGCAATCCAAAATTTCATCTAGGCTAAACTCCAGTAGAGCTAATTGGCTTCAGTGGGAGACTTGTCTGAGTAAGAAGGGCAAGATTTGGTCTCGAAGAAACTATAAATTCCCGTTTAAAATTCAGTAGTTGTACAGAGGCTCGCTCCTGTGACAGCACCATTCTTCGTGTTTCCTTCCCTGAATTCCTTTCCTATTCATAGTAGGAAAGCTTTCTGGCATCAAAATCAAATGATAATATCCTGGCCACCTCCCAAAATCCCGTTGTGTCTTGTGGAAAGCGTCGTTGTCTCCGCTGCTTTGAACGGGAGTGTAAATCCTCCAAGACATTGGATTTCTACCTTTTTTTTTTTAGGAAAGGCCGTTTCTTTTCATGTGTGCCATAAACAGGTCCCGATAAGCAGCTCTGACCCTGCCAAATTTACCGGTTGCTTTAGATGATGTAATAAGTACTCAAGCTTCCAATAAATCCACACTGCAGCATTTAAGGTATTCTCTACAGCTGTGTAAGGAAACACGATGCTGTGCAACAACTGCTGAGGGAATTTTGCCTGCTCCACATGAGCAGCACTACTTATCTACAAGTGCTGCACAGGAATCCCTTCCCACTACTGCCCATCTCCAGTCCTTCTCAGGAGCTGTGGCCATACTCCTTCACAAAGATGTGGGGAGTACGTTGTCCACAGTGTAAGTAAAAACTTAAACACAGCCTAGTTCAGCACCTCAAGAGATGTTTCCAACTGCAAGCCTCTCTAACAAAGCAGTCCCACAGTTTTTTGCAACTGTTCAGAAAAAAATCTTTTTTCTTTGTATCTGAGATCCCAAACGTTTCCAATTCTTACAAATGCTTCAGTTGCTGAATTATATCCCCGTTTTCTCAAGATCTCCTTGGCAAAGAAGTCGCTCATATTGTGCTTCCTGTAGGTCACCAAGTGCCTGCTGAGCAGCCTTAAGGGGAAAGGAGCCTTTCCAAACTGATGGCTCTGCACTGGGGATGTTTTAGCTGTGGTCCCCCCGGTCTCGCAAGCTACTGGATTTGTTCCACCAGATGGTCTCAGCTACTGTAGAATCAAGAGCTCTTCTCACCTTTAAAACTTGTGACAAATCAATTACATCCAGTAAGCCAAATGCATCAGGTAGCACTGTTCAAGGGAACACTGGTCTCCTTGTAAAGCCCCGGCTCTAAAAACTCTGCACTAGCACTAGAACAAAAGTGCAAACTGATGAAGTGTGCATGGAAAGGGGAACCGAGACGCCACGCTCTGTTCTTACACTTCTCACAGACTAACGATGCTATCTCAGCCACCTGCATCCACGCTTGGCTCCAGCTGATGCAATTCACTATTTTCCAAAAGGGCAGAGATGAACAGATTCTGAAATCAGGTGAATACACTGCACTGATGATGTGATGCCCACGCTCTCCCAGTGACCAGATACATGCAGTGAATGCACAGCAGCCACAAAACAGATTTGCTCCAAGGCAGTCATCCGACATCACTGTGAGACAAACTTACACAAAACAGGACAGAATAATCCTTAATCTTCTGGGCTGTAAATGTGTTGAGATCTCGGGTGTTCAGCAAATAAGAAGTGCAAAAGAACCTGTGAGAAGACCCAATTTTCATTCACTGCTCCTTCTGTTCTAACATCCAGGATAGCTGTGATGAAAGACATTTGTGAAACCTGGAGCTCCGGGGAGAACTGCTGTGTGATTTTCTTCACTGGTACGTTTCAAAACATCTCTTCATACAGTATTTGAACTACATACAGCAGGCTCTAGAGATAAACCAGGCTTGTACAGTAAAGCAAACTCTTTGGAAGCAAATTGCTTGAATTCCTCCACACTAGCTTCCATCAAGATCAAAACAAGATCAAACTCGTAAAAAATAGCCATTTTAATGAGATTTTAAACTGAAAAGTAAAGATACAACATTAGTCAACCTACACCACTGTCATTTTTCCCCGCATCGAGTAACTCTGTCTCCTGATGGAGTTCACACTAGGTACCTCCCATGAAGCACCTATGAATGAAACTGCTTGATGAAATTGATGATCAGACTGAAAAACAGTTAAAATCAATGGGACACTAAACGATCTGACACTTCCACCTTGTAGAGCACTGTGAGAGTGGAGCAGTCTGTGTCCAAGCACCTTTTCAAATGCTAAGCAATGATTCAGAAAGTGGGTCATTAACACATTTTGTCATCTTATGCAATTTTCCCCTCCCCGTTTACTGGGCTTTTTTCCAGGCCCAGTAGCCAACAATAAATCAATCAGTGTCTCCTAAGTGTGTTGACTTAGGTTTTATCCCATAAGTTGGGTTAAAAACAGAGTAGCAATCGCTGCAGGAGGTGAGGCACGAGGGGGCTAGTGGTGACTGCTGGTAAGGAGATGTTTGCCTGACCCACAGCCATTCTTATTGCCGTTCTTTGTGGACTCCTCTTCATTATCCGTTACAGAATCTTCTTCCTCTTCATCACTCCGGTCATCTTTCAAGTCCTATGGAGAAGAAAGCACCATGAGCACATTCTGTACTTGCAGTATTTACTGTCAGATAAGTTGCCAGATTGCTATTAGTGCAATCAAAAGGCCTGTGTGTGCCACACAAGCAAGTTACTTCTTACAATGTGAACTGTGTGTCTGATCTTTACGAAGACTTGGCAAAAGCAGTCAGTTAGCTTCATTAGTCAGGAGCTCCCATTTGTAATTGCAAGATGAAGAGATGGTGCAGAGGAGTTTCAGAAAATGGAACATTCTGCCTTCTTGGAAATTTCTCTCATCCTCTGAAGACAGAACTCCTCAATTTCTTCAGAAAATAATGCGTGAGAGGAAACAGATGAAAGGGAGTTCTCAATACGAGCCCCCAGGCCACCTCCCAAGAAGATGGATGTGATGCTGGAGGACAGGCCAGCTAACACCAATTTAATCTCACAGAACCTAAAGTTCCTCAGACAAAATTACCTCTGTGGGCCTGGCCCAGCCATTTGACCTCTTCCTGCTTGTTTTTGCTTTCCCTTGTAAAGCATTACTGGTAATCCCTGGGTGCTGTGGGATTAATTAACGATCGTGAAGTGTGGGAAAGATGAAAAGAGTATTGTATAAAAGCTAAACATGATGAATGGTCTCACTCAGACACAGTAGTTCAGAGGCTGCCTGCTTCTGACAGGTGTAAACTAAACAGTGACTGGCTGTGCCAGCATCTCCTGGTATTAACGTCACTCAGAGAGACTTACTGACCCTAAAATGCTGTATATATCATACCAGTGTTTGTAAAGGGAAAGCCATGTCTCTACACAGCTTTGGGTACACCTATACATCTTTGACATATCATCCTGCTAAGGGAATTGCCAGGGAGGAGGGGATGGTTGTTTCGTTAGCAGGGATGAAAGGGGGTCCAGAGGCAGCCTGTCCTTGAGCAAAGTAATTCTGTGCAATTTGCATGGTACATAACATATCCCATTCCTCTCTTTTATTTCTCATTTTCTACTATATCATAAGACCTTACAGCACATTCAGGACTTTGGTCCAAACAATCAAGGCTTTGGCATTTAAAACAAACTCCCTGAAACAAGCTCACAAGAGCACTGCCTGCCTCACAGGAGTGATAACTGCTCTGCTGCCTCCAGGTAAAGATGCTCTAAGTCAAATAAATGCTTCCTTCTGTCCATGTGGGTGACCAAGAGCAGGAACAAAGCAGGCACTTATGAAATCTCCCCTAAATCCCACAGTTTCCTATGTTTAGCAGCCACCACCAGTGGCTTCTTTCTGTGACTTGACTCACGTCTCTTAGATTCAGTGCAGCATTTGAACACACGCAACACTCCAGGAGAAAAAAGACACACAGAACACACTGCTCCTTTTGCTGGCTTTGAGTTTAGCAGCTGATAGACTCACACAAAGCCCTCTAGTTTTTGAACTGGAAGAGATGGGTAATCACAGTCTTCCCCTCCCCAGCATCTCATGCTTTAATAGATGACTTCTCATTTAAAGTCAGGAGTTTCCTGTAGCCGAGGATCAGACCCTAACCGCTCACACTGTGGCTCACACTCTAAGCATGAACACCAGGGTATCCAGCATGTTCATGGAAATTCCAAACTCTAACAGCCAGCTGTTGGTGGTGCCAACATTCACATACTGAGGACTGCAAGTCCTGTGGTGCCTTTTTTTCATGCACAGGTATTCGGCCTGCGGTGCTGGCTGATGAAGGATGATCCAAGGCTTTTCTTCATCACAGAGGAAGCTGCCTCTAGAGCCACGTGCTGGATGTGCCAGGTACGTCAGCTCTTGCACAGACCACCTGCAGGCAGCCTGTACAGCTACACTGCAGATCACTCCTCTCTGGACAGATTTATTTTCCTTACCATCCATCCGGATCTCAGCCTCACACAGGCTCAGACTGCAGGCTCTTCCTGCTCCTGGAGCAGTGAGATGCAGAAAAGAGAAAGCAGTGTTGCCCTGCTATCTGCTCCCTGAATGAAGCAGCAGCTTCACTTAGCCTGCTGGTCTGGAGGTCTTTCTTAAGCACCAAATTCATACAGAAAAAATAAATGACAGCTCAGTAATAACTCACCCCATTGCAATCTCATAACCCTTCATATATTACACTTCTAGTAAAACATATAGGACTAGAAAGAAAACTAAAGTTCCAACTGTCTCATCAGAAACTGTAAACCTCCTGGAGCTTTTCTTTTTCCTTTTCCATAACAGCATACAAAGGGTATCAAAACAAACAAATCTTATTGTAAGCACTGTAAAATAAACTTGGCATGCCATCAGTTACAGAAAAGGAAAGACAGCCTTTCTCACACAAACAATTTATGAGGTTCTGCCTCTTTCAGATCACCTCTGTTACTCCTGCTGGTTATGTGTTTTGTATTTACAGTTAAAGACAAATGCCTGGGGTGGGGGAAGTTACTTTTTTGCCATCAGAAACATTTCAGTAAAAAGTGCAAACCAAAGCAAAGCAAACAGCAATGCAGCATCTGCTGGACTCCCCACAAGTATTCTCATCTCCTTGAGCATTCTCCAGCTGCAGCAGAAAACACACGGGATGACAAGGGGAGGAGTGCTTTTGTGCTCAGTGCAAGTGGACTTGGAGTCAGTAATGTTCTTGAAATCATAGCTCATTTGGAGCACCTTGCTGTGGCCCGCAGAAGTTGATGGAACTCAAGAATGTGCTTAACTGGCAATCTGCTTTACCTTGAGTGGTAGCTGATATGACACTGACTCCTGTCTTCTATAGGAATGACCTGGTATTTCCAGCATGGAAGTGGAAGCTCAGGTAGGATTTACTTTCCAGGTTTAATACCGTCAGCGTGGTTGCTATCATAAAAGGCACAATGTGTAATAATTAAAAACAAATAAACATTACCATCCAGCACACTGGAAATCCTTGCATTTGAGACGATCTCTTATTTTGAAGAAGCAGGAATTGAATTTCTTTGTCGTCTGAGACGATCATTATGGAGCAAGTTTGTTTTTATCAGGGCAAGAGTTCTGAATCCTAATATGGATCAAGAATAAATGCTGCTAAATAGAATCTACGTTTTGTTTCCTTCAGTCACAACCCTGCTTCCTCACCTGACCCCTCTGAAACTTGCTTTGGAAGAGTCTGGCTGTTTTTGTTTACCTTGTTTAAGCAAGGGGAATGCAACAGAAGTCATGGCAGAGCAGAACTTGACATTTCTGTAGTTTCATCTGTAACTGCAAAACCAAATAAACCTGACGTTGCAAACTGTGTAGCATAGCATTATAAGCATATTAAGACATCAAAAATAAAGTTTGTGCCCTGACCTTCTAAGAACAAAGAAATATGTAGCATTTCTAGGATTCGGCCTTGCTTTAATACTAAGATGTTTTCTCTGACATTCTCACATCTAAGTTAGCGCTGTGTTTTCCAGCACAACACTGTGCTGCCTGTCCCTGAGCAACAGCAGATGAATATATCACCAGAAACACAAGAACTGGAAAACTGTAAATGCAACTGAAGCCATCAGTAATACTCAGTGCTTTGGTTTAATGGCACGAGCTGAATTTATTACACTTTACGTGGTTTGAGGTAACAAACAAAATGGATGTGCATATTTTATGTTCTGGATGACTAACCAATTTAATCTTTCTAAACGGATGAATGGTTTCAAGGTTTATGAGAAGCAACACTAATGCTATAAAGTCTGCAAGAGAGCCATTTGTAGTGAAGCCAAAGCTGCAAACTTTTATAATCTTTTTCCTTTTGTTTAACCCTTCCACCTGCTGCTCAGTCTGCCTCTTTTAGTTAAATGAACCATACATGCTAAGGTAGTTTTGGCTTCTTGCATTTCACTTCTGCTACAGTGTGCATCATTCAAGCCATTAGCACTGCATCTTATTACACAAACAGGAACGGATCTTCTAAGAGGATTCACCAAGGAAAAAGGCTTGAAATCAAGCTAGAGGTAAACTTAAAAGGCTATTTCCCAGCCTCTTGTAGGCAGAACAGCATTGGTCGAATCTCAGTCTAAGCTAACTTTGCAAGAGTGTCTCTCAATAAAGCATTCAGAAATCAGTTCCCTCTGACAAGCTTTGGTGCTGATCTCTTTCTACTACAGCTGCTAAGAATGCCGGGAGAAAGACACAGCAGTGCTGGAAGGCAGACAGCATTGCAGCTTCGTGCTCCCATGTGCTGCTGCTAACAACTGGTCCTGAAGCTCACTGGGCAGACACCATCCTTCTCTCCTGCTCTGCCTCACTGAGGCACCCGGCACCTCCATCCATGGGCACAGAGATACGCAGCCATGGCTTTGGATCTGCTACTCAGTAGCTAAAGTGAAAAGTGTTAAGAGCAAAGGGAAAAAAAAACTGTGCCAAACAGTATTAAAAAACAGGCAAAAAAAAAATACATATTGTAGCTACATGGATTGATCCTACAAACAGTGAGGAAGGCTTAGCAACGTGCCTTCTACGTTCTCAGAAGGGACGGGGCACTTAGTAGCAAATGCACTGTTAGCTCCATGCGGCGTAGTACAGCCCATCAAGTGGAGATCTCAACGTGTCAGCAGTTCCTAAAAGGACACACTGCAGAACAGACCCACTGAAGCATCACGGAGAAGAATCTGGTAACCTTGCACGCTTTTGTGGCACATTCAGATCCAAGCAGAGGAAGTTTCTGCAAGGAAGTTCAGCTACTACATTTTTTTCATCCAGCTTTCAACCTGGCCTCTCCCTGACAAAGGCACGTACTTTTTGGAGGCATTTGCAATAGCTTAATTTGGCACTATGAAGGCAAAGTCTCTGCTTTACAAATTCATGGTGCAGGCTTGGGAGTATCATGGGGGGAATGTTTGTTCGTCTCCATGTTCATCTGAACAGAAGAGAAGGATGATAAGAAGGCTTGCTGTGCCATAAGTCACGCACCACTGGGCAGGGACATGCTTTCAGCCTGAACTGGCTACAGCTAAAGCCATCAGGAATCCCTCAGTAACTTCTGACAAACTCTCTGAACGACATCAATCTCAGCACTG